GACATTTTTAAAAAAAATTTTATAGAAACAAAAAGTAAATTAAAAAGCTAAAATGCAATTTTTTAAAAGCAATAAGGACATCATTAAAAAAAATATTTTTCAAAAAAAATCTAAAATTATTCTTGAATAATTCCAAGATTCGATGGATGTCTTCCTTTTGCTAAAGTATCAAGTCCTACAGCTTTTGAACTTTCTGAAGAGTCTTTACTTTCTTTAAAACTAAACAATTTTCCAAAAAGAAAATGTTGAACTACGGGGAACTTCTTCAGCACCTAAATTTTAAATTTAATTTTTTAATTTACAAGAAACCCCATTTTTCAACCAAATTACCGTCAAATTAGTTAATTTTAAGAATTTTCAATAATATTCGTTTTAAGTTAAAGTAGAAGAAATAAGATTTCCTTTCAATGCTCGCGTGGCCTAATGGATAAGGCGTCGGATTCCGGTTATTGGGGGAGGCTCCGAAGGTTGGGGGTTCAAGTCCCCTCGCGGGCTGAGCTTTTTCTTATTATTTTAAACGGTGAAATAGTTTATCTTTTTTATCAAAAAATATTCTAAAAAATTTCCAAAAAATTTTTAAATTATTTTTTATTCAAAATTTATATCAAAACAAACCTCTCCTTCATACATTTTAAACATTCCCTCATTTATTCTTTCCCAAGTTTGTACAGCACTAATATTATAAAGTTGATTGGAATGTTCATAAAATGGACCGGTTTTTGTCTAAAAATATTTTTGAAATTATTTTAATTACTTTATTACCTCATTAATATATTGTATAGCCTCAAAAAATAAATTATCATTTTTATATTGCGAAACCATTTCTGGGCGTAAATAATAATCGGGAATTAAACGATATTTATTGTCTAAAAAATTAGGAAAAATATTTTAAAAAATTAAAAAAAATATTTTTTAATTAAAATACCAATAAGTTGAGAACTCCCAAAAAGAAAAGGCAAAAATTGAAAATCATCAATTGCATGTACTCCCCGACTTCCTGCCGGCTCCATTCGATAAATACATTGAAGAAATTTTACCAAAGATAAATAACTAAAAAATTAATAAAAATTTTGAAAAATTTTTTAAAAAAATCAACCGATGAAATACTTTCAAAACAACTGCACAATTATCGTTTGGAGAAACCAAAAAATTAATTTGATAAAGACAAAATAGGAAAATTAGGAAAGAGGCTTCGTGACCTGAAATAAGAATATTGAGATTTTTAAAGAAGGCAAAATCAAATTTTAGGAATCTAACAAAAAAAAATATTTGGGTCTTAAAAAATTCCCTTTTTGGTCATTAATAGAGCGCGGATTTTTATTGAAATAAAATTGCAAAATATGGCCATAAAATATTGAAATAAATGGGAAAAATATTGACAAAAATGCCAAAATTTAATGAAATATTAAAATAAATTTTCGTATATTCACTAGCAAAAAACCAAAAAAAGTTGAAATTTAACAAAAAAAAAGGAATAATTTCAGAAAACGAACAGACCCGAAATAAGTCGAATTATATGTCATTCAAAAGAGCATTCGAATATTTCAATAAGAATCCGCCCTCTAGTCATTAATGACCGCATAAAACAATTTCTTTTTAAAATTAATAAGCGGTAAAATTAGGGCCCGGATCAAAGCCTATATTGACTGGTTTTAGACATTCTTACTTTAATAAGCAAAAACGCTTCCTAGAAAAAACCAAACAAGAAGTTCAAGAAATTTTTTCATTTTATTATTAAAAAAACAAAATTCTTCCCTTACCAGATCCATAATCAATTCGAGTAGAGTTCCCAAACGAATCCATCAAATAAGGAAGCAATTCAATTTTAGCTTCTTCCAATTCTGTTGGTAACAGTTTCAAAAGGGCATTTTCTGCATCCTTTTAATTAAAAAATAAACAAAATTACTTTCTAATTAAAACTTACATTAGTCAATCTTTCATACCATTTTCGATAAGATTTGTTTCCAAATCGTTGAGTTCCCATATCTTCTGGAGGATATTCTTCTATCCATTTCTTCAAATATAAAAAATTATTCAGCAAAAACATAATTAAAAATAAACAAAAATTTCTCCCAAACGACCTATAAAGGAAACTAAAACAACTGACTAGGGACAGGGCCGTAACCCGGATTTTTTTGGAAGGAGTCCCCTGGTTACGGCCCTGACTAGGAGAAACATAAATACAAAATAAAATCAAAATTAGTGACAAGCTTACAGACCGGAGTAAGAGTCAGAAAAATTAATTAAAAAATCTTTCGTAATCTCCTAACTAATATTCGAAAAATTAAGCAGGATACATTCCTGTCTCGTGATTTTTTCTTTCTACCCAGGAAAGTCTGTCTTAACTACCGGTCACTAATTAATAACAAAAATCTACCAAAAATAAGTAAAAAAGTAACCTGAAATAAGTCAAGCATTTCAATAATTTTCTTAACATTTTCAGAAATAAAAATATCAGAAAAATCAGTAGAAATACCTCTAACAGAATTATTTAATTGTCTAATAAATTTCATATATTTGTAATGTGCCTCAGATTTTAACCAAGTAGAGACATCTCCAATATTAAGAATTGCACGTTCTGGCTTAATAAATTGAGGCTAAAATGAAAATTAAATTTTTTTGAATATTTTTTGGAAATTTACCTGATTTAAATTTTCTTGTGTATTGGCCATTTTAAATTATCTAAAAATGAAAAAAATTAAAAAAATTAAAGGAAGAATAAAATTGAAAAATTTTAAGCAAGTCTCGGAAAAAGAGACTGAAATGGGGTACAGCCCAAAACGGCGCGAGTCCATAATGGCGCAAAGCCACAACTTGCTGAAAAATGTCTGGTCCTTGTCAATTTCGGTGCCAATCTCCCTAGCTCGATGAGTGGAATCGTTTGATACTAAATCTGGTAGGATTAAGAAATCTTGAAGCTAGTTATGGCTTTGCGCCTTTATGGCCTCGCGCCGTTTTGGACGTGTCCCACTGAAATGACAGGATTGTTTCCAGTTTTAGATTTAAGGAACAAAACACAACAATGATTTTGACCGTTTAAGCAATTCCTTGTTATTTTTCCGTAGCTACATTCTCCGTTAAAATTTATTTTTTTAAAGAAATTATCTCAAGTTTTAATTTATTTTTTCAGGAATTTTTCAAAAGATTGCCCTTTCAAATAAAAAAATAAAAAAGAAGCCTTTTCCACCAAATCAAAGGTAACTTATTTTACAACAAAAATAATTTTCAAAAAAAATATATTTAGAAATGTCATCACTTCAACAAAAATTACAACAAACAATTTCCACCTTTCCCACAAAAATTTTTATTTCCAAAATTAACGTCTTTGGAATTCGTCAATTTTCAAACAACAAAGAAATGAATGAAGAGAATATTAAAGAAAGTGAAGAAATTCCAAAAGAATTGAATGGACCTAAAGGACCAGAACCTACAAGATATGGGGATTGGGAAAGAAAAGGAAGAGTTTCGGATTTTTAGAAAATTTTGGTTGTTGGATTTGTTTAAAAATAAAATTTTATCTAAAATTAAGAGAAATTTTTTTCTTCTAAGAGACAGTTTTTAGTGAAAATTTGAAAAAATTTTTGGAATGAAAATACATTTTTCTATTTTCTTTTAAATTTCATTTTTATAATCAATCAACTACAAATTAGGCAGGCTTTTCATTAAGCTTAAGTTGAAGTTGCAAATTGTGATGCAGCTCTGGACGAATGTCACAGACAAGTTGAAGTAGACGAACAATTACCTAGAAAATTAGAAAAATAATATAAGCTCTCGGTAATACTGAAGAATACAGACCCGATTTTCTCCTTCCCAATTTTCCCCCTATATTTCTTAAAAAAGGTCAGAAAAAAGGTCACACGGTCCAAGACAACACAGACACACAATGGTCACACACACAGGACACACGCACACAAGTTATAAGAAAAACAATCCTTTTGCGTTTATAGCCTTACGGTACAAATCAAAAATAGAGAGAAAAATATAAAATAAATATTTTTAGGAATATGGAAAAAATTGGATGCCGCCCTTACTTTCAGATAGAGTCGAAAGGGAAATTGTCTTCTTACTGGCGGGGAAGATAATTCCCGAGAAACTTGAACACTATTTCAATAACAGACTATAGACCCTCATAATCAGCTAGGCTTAAAGAAAAAAGAATTAATTACCTGCTGTTTATTAGCAGCAACACTACGAGTCATTTCACTCAAAGTCTCATCAGTTTCACGCTTTATTTGCGCAGCAATGTCATCTCTAGCGCCCAGGTAATTATGCTCAAACTCTTTAAAACGCTTTTCACGTTCCTAAAAATTAACAGAGTGAAGGGAATTAATTTAATCAAAACCTCTCTATATTTGTCAATTTCAGCTTGCGCTTCCTGTTTTGCTTGTTTAAGTCGTTGTGCCTTTCTTTTACGTGCCTCATTAATCTAAAAAGACGTTCTCAAAGTAACAAAACACTTTAAAAACCTTTTCAGCAGCACGCTTCTCTGCTGCAAGTAATTGTTGAATTCCTGCAGTTTGCGAAGCCATTTAAGGTCTTTTATTCAATTAAATGTCTAAAAACAAACGAGAAAAGTATTAAATCATCAATTAAAAACAATAAAAATAACAATAGAAAAACCAATATTTAGTGATTTTTGGTTTTACTTTAGTGTCTCTACACTCTCTTCATTCCCTACAATATTTCTTATCTGGCTGTCTGTTATTTTGGTAATATCAAAAGAAATAATTTTCGAAAGAACAAAAAAGGGAAAAAGAGAAAAGGGTAAACGACAAAAGGGAACATCAAGGGAAAACGAGAGGCGATTGATCATTTCGTCAATAATAAGTTCGTCAATGTTATATTCGTCAAAGCGAGATAAACTTTTGTCTTATCAAAATACCAACAAACAAAACTTGAAGCAAAGAAAAGTTTATTTTAAAAAAATTACAATAGTGAACACAAAAATACACATTATTTATACAAATCAACACACAAATTTATATTTATTTTTTATTTATTCAGTTCTCACTTTTCGTGTTGTCATCGTGCTCACTTTTTGTGTTGTCCTTTTGATTTTCTTCATTTACACTAGTCTCACTTGTCATTGTTACCCTCACAGTGCTTTGGCTATTGTGCACGTTATCCTTTGATGAAGATTTGCTTTGCGATGATGTTGCCTTTTTATTGTCGCCTTCACTCTTTGCCTGCTTTTCCTTAAAAGAAAAAATAATGAAAATTTTTTTAGGGAAAAATTTTTTTCTCTCACCTCATCCATCTTTGAGTTAGCCGCATTCGATGACTTTGACGACAAATTCGATTTACTATCAAGCCTCGATTTGGAGTCTGAGCGAGGGTCTTTCGCCAAACTACCATCTCCTCCCATATCTCCTTTCGTTCTTTTGGATGCATCAAAGATGTTCCCCAATCCCCTCCAGGTCTGGTAGTCTGGATCGTCCAATCGGCGTCGTGTCATTTCCTCGGGCATTTTATAAGCTTGCTCTAAAAAATAAAATTTTTTAGACTGGAGAGCGAGGAAGACATTTTTTAGCCTCACTTTTAACTTGACGCCACGAATCAGAAACCTCCTCCATTCGTGCAGTGTCGTCATCGGGAACAGCAACACCAGCGCGCACGTCTTTCTTTGACTTATCAGAAGGTTTTGGTGCAGCTGGCTTTGGTGGTGTTGCTGGTTGCTTTGTTGCTGCGGTCTTCGTTGGATCAGCTACAGGTGCTTTAGGAGGTGGTGTGAACAAAGCAGCAGTTCTTATCGCAGCAGCGCCTCCGCCACCAATCGCTGCTCCTTTTGCTGGTTGAGGTGGTGTTTTTAGCTGTTTCTGCTGCCTTCCTTTTGCTGCTGCTGGTGGTTTTTCTCCTGGTGCTGGTCCCTCCTTTAGTGGAAGATTGTCTTTGCTCTGTTAGTGAAAATTATTTTCATCCCCAAAAATCCCCCTCCTCTTTTCTCACCTTTCTGTTATCCACCAATGCTTGTTTTTGGATCTGACTTTTTGTTGCTGACTTCTTTTTTGATTTGCAGCAGAAGAGCAAGGACACGGATCCAGAAAGCGAGACAGCAACAAAGAAGAGAGCCAAGAATGGTCCAAAGTCGATCAAACTTAAAGTGGAACATATTTGAAGAATAGGAAAATTAAAATTAGAAAAGGGTTTACCTTAACATGCCAACCAAAATAGATCAAAACGACGTGCGCCAATGAAGTTGAAGAAGCAGTGGAGTGCGAAGAAGTTGAGTTGATTGTTTGTAGCAACATTTTGTAGAAAGCTTTTATAGTATAAATTTATCAGAAGATCAGAGTAATTAATTTTCGTCAACTAGATTGCTTTGACCAGTACAAAAAGTTCCATCTAGATATTTTTGTGATGATCAGATCGAGCCAGTTATAAAAAAGATGCCGAATCTCGAGACCTTTCGAATACATAATATGGGAATTATTCGCGTATTCGGCCCTATTAATTACTCCCTCCAGCGAGAGGTTGAAACAATAATTCCCTGGGTAATTATTTTAGCAAATATGGTATATACATATAAATTTTTAAGTATTTTTATGTTCAGATAAAAACACTAACCAGAAACCATAAAATATGTACTACATAATTTTGTTGATACGGCATTTTATCTAAAAATTTATTTTTTTTTTAAATTTTATTTATCAATTTTTTTATATTTAGACTTAAATTTTTTTTCTTCCTTTACGATTAATTTTTTGATTTCACAAACTACAAACTATAAAATTTTCATTAAAAAGTTGTCACATTTTATTTAAAATAAATAAAAATGCACTAATTTAATCAATTCATTATATTATTTAACAAAATTTAATTTTTTAAATTTAATGACAGACATTAATTGTTTAACAAAATTAATTTAGTAGAATATATTTTTACTTTAATTAACGAACGGTAAACTTGCTGTCCCGTTTAAGAGAATTCGGGAAGTACCGACGTTTTTCTGTGTCGGTAACCTCGATTTCCTATTCCCGTACATCGTCTTACGCCGTTTAAGAATATTAATTTAAAGTTAATTTTATCAAAGTTAAAAATTAAAAGTGTTATTTCACAAATCTAATTAATGAATCATTGTTTACATTTATATATTTCTATCACATCTGGGCTGTGCGTCATTAGAGCTAGGAATTTTGAAAAAACCGGGACCGGGTCCGGGAAACGGGTTCTGAAAAATGGACCGGGCGGGAACCGGGTCCGGGAAACCGGGAAAACCCGTTCCCGGTTTCAACCCGGTCAAAAATGACCGGGTCCCGGCCGGGAAACCGGGAAATTTTTAATTTGTTGAAATAGGGGTCTATTTTTCCACATAGGGCTGTATTTTTCATCTATTCTCCTATACTTATTCTAAATAACCTCTATTAATGTAAGTGAATGCCATTCACGATTATTTAACTCAAGATCGAATTCCCTTTTCTGAAAAATACGTTCATCGACTGCTGCCTTTTGTTCTTTCGTACTTGGGATTAATGAAAAAATTCAAAGAAATATGTACTACATATGTTTAAATTCTTTCTAAAGCCCTTATATGTTGGCCGAGTGGTTGTTATGTGTTAGTTCCTTCAGAATGTTAGTTCCTTTTAATTCCTTCAGAATCCTTAGATATCCCTTTTAATTCTTTTTAATCTTATTGAACTAAAAATTCTTCGCGCCATTTTTTGCGCCGTAGGCGAAAATTTTGAGAATTTTGATAGGCCTTAGCAGAAAAGAATTCAATTGTCAGAGCTGCCGGCGAAAAAATTTTTCGAAGTTTAGATGGTAATGAAGCCAGAACTCTTAAATTTTCTGCGCCACAGTGAAAATTTTGGAAAATTCATGATTTAATTGAAATTTCTAAGATTTTTTCAAGATTAAAACAGTAAAAAAATTTTCAAATTTAAAATCAAAGTTTAAAATTATTTATTTTTGAAAAGAAAATTTTCTCAGCCCCATTTCCATACATGGACTCGAACCCCATCCCTATCAAAATAACTAGATGAGTGAAGTCAGTCAACTTAACCACTCAACCATCGACCGACAAAAGCAAAATGGAGAAATTATAAATATTCCTTTCCCTTTTCCTTCAAAAATTTAATATCAAAGTACGCAAATACACTAAATATTTTTCCCGGTTTTCCGGTGAAAAAAAATCCGGGACCGGGTCCGGGTAACGGGTTTTGAAAAATGGACCGGGCGGGAACCGGGTCCGGGAAACCGGGAAAACCCGTTCCCGGTTTCAACCCGGTTGCTTCAAAAAAACCGGGAAAAGGGACCCGGAAACCGGGAAACGGGTCCGGGTCCCGGACCCGTTCCTAGCTCTATGCGTCATGGCGTTTGGCGTTTTGGCGTTAATTTTGGCCGATTTTTGGCGTTTGGCGTGTTTTTCAAATTTGAAAAATTGGCGTATGGCGCGCCACGCGAAAATTTTGGCGCACAGCCCTCTATCACATTATATTATTGTCTGAAATATTATTGTCTAAAAATTATATTGTTATTGTCTGAAATTGTCGCGCTGGATTTTACAATTTTTTTAAAAAGAGTTACCCAAAACAACTAATAATTTTTTTTCAAATTAAAATTTTTAAATCAAGAGACGTAATTAGAAATTAATTAAATAACAAATGATTTCTCTATTTTTTATTTTGCTTAATTTCTTCATTTGTTCTATATTATTTTACAATTTTTATTTTAAAAGGCGTAATTTACCTCCAGGTAAGTTAAATTTTAATAATTTTTATTAATTAATAAAAAATTTCCTTTCTGGTCCACCCCCACTTCCCATAATTGGCAATTTATTAAGTTTTGAGAAGGAAATGCCAGAACAATGTTTTTTACGTTGGAGGCGTAAATATGGGAATATATTTACAATTTGGTTTGGAGAACAGCCACAAATTTGTGTGGCTGAATTTAATAAAATTATTGAAACATTCCAAAAAGATGGAGAAGCATATTCTGGACGTTGTAAATTTGAAGAATTTGATAAACTTTTAAGAGGTAATTTAATAGTTACCTAATTGAGAGGGAAAAAATTGGGAAAAGTTAACAGAGAGAGAATACGAATGTATTCCGTTATTCCGTTAAAGCACGATACCGATGAGTAACGAAAATTTAAAAATTTTATCAGTATCAGAGGTGGGTCGGAACAGTCAGAGGTGTCGGAAATCGGAACTGGTTCAAAAATCGGAACTTAGAAATCGGAATTCCGACCCACATCTGATCGGTATGGCAGAAGTATCGGCAATTCCGAGTAATACAGATTCGGTATTTTTGGTAATACTTAGGCCGTTTCAAAAATTACACATGATGCGGTTGTATTGTGGTAATTGTCTACAGAATAAACATAAAATTATTAGGAGGAACTTATGGTGTAATAATGACTGAAGGTGAACTTTGGCGAGGACAGAGACGTTTTGCTTTGCAAATATTTAGAGATTTTGGGCTTGGAAAGAATTTAATGCAAGATAAAGTTATTATTAAAATATAAAAATTGAGGGATTTGTTAAGCATAAAAGCACCTTTTGGATGAAAATAATTTCCATTTTTTGTGGAAATATTTTACAACTTTAGGCATCAGTTGTGATTTTGTAAGCTTTAAGACAAATTTGCATTTTTGTTAACGCAGACATAATTTTTTAGTTTTCCAATTTAGGAGGGGAAATTTACTTTCGATGGCTTCGTATAGTCAATGTGGTCTCATTCTCTTATTTATATACCGTATTTCCTATATTAGAGCCCCATGGGGCTCTATTTTTCAACTATCCTCCAAGGTGGGGCTGTATTAAAGGGTGGGGCTCTAATTGAGGGTGGGGCTCTATTTTTCAACCCTCTTTTGAGATAAAATCCCATTTATTAAATATCCATTGCAACTAGAGTTAGGCCGGAGGGGTGGTCGATAAAACCGAAAAATATCGAACGAGGATCGAAATTTTCGATTTTTCACAAAAATTAAAATTTTATAAGCAATGAATAACAAAATAGTAGCAATAGTTTAATGAGAGTAAGATCAATTATGAAATTTTGGTAGATTTGGACGGGTTAAGGGAAATATTAGGGGACCAGTATTTGACATCGATGGATCAAAGATATAATAGTGGATTTTAAGGGATTATGGTGAATATAAGCGGATTATGTTTATATTGAGAGATTTAGCGGGATTAAGAGGGATATTCTGGACTAGGGGTAATAGGAGGCATATGAAGTGATTTTGTTTGGCGAGGCTCTGGAACAGGTTCCAGAACTGGAACTGAAGAAATTCAAAAAGCAGTTCCAGAACTAGAACTGGTATATCCCCATGATCCCTCCTCCTCCATGATCACGAATCATCGATATCCCTCTTTCTTTCCTTAACTCTCTTAATACATCTATAAAGTTATTATATTTGGATATTTTTTCCTCCAAAATTTTTTAGGTGGGGCTGTATTTGGGGTGGGGCTCTAATTGAGGGTGGGGCTCTATTTTTCAACTAACCTCCAAAGTGGGGCTGTATTAGAGGGTGGGGCTCTAACAGAGGCTGGGGCTCTAATATAGGAAATACGGTAGCTACCATAACTATACATAAACTTGGTTTAAAAAATTTGGATAGGTGTCTGTTAAGTTTTAAGGCTAAAAGAAACTAAGACGGAAATTTATGTAAAGCTTCCTAAATTTTATCACACACGTTAAATTTTCTAGAAACTTAAGAAGTCGACATAACTCAAGGATTCTAAAGAAAATTCTTAGGCTAAGACTTAAGATCACAACTTTCTCCAACGTCTCAAATACTAGTTATTATTCTAATATTTATTCAGATTTTGAGTGAATTAGAATTACTATTTGAGAGAATAGAAGAAGAAATAAAAGAGGGAAAGGACGTTGATTTTGGAGAAAATATTGATATAAGTGTTGGCTCTATCATTAACAATTTCCTTTTTGGATATAGATTTGATAATGTAAAGTTTCTTGGAATTTTTTGTTAATTTAAAAATTAATTTTTAGGAAAGGCTTGGAGAATTCCGGCAACTTAAAAAATTGATGGATATTATTTTAGATACAGGATTTCATCCATCGATGTTTTTAATACGATTATGGCCCTCTTTACGACATTTACCTTTTGTTAATTATTATTTTGAATATCTTAAAGGAGTAGATAACCAATTATTTGATTTCCATAAGAGACAAATTAAAGAACATTTAAATTCAATTAATTCACCTCCAACAGACTTTGTAGAAGCTTTTTTGTTAGAAAAACAGCAAAAGGATTTAATAGGGGCACCTCATGATTTTACGTAATATTTTGATTTTTAAAGGGTTGTTAGTTCTTGAAAAATCTTTGGATATTAAGAACGGGTTCTTGAAACACGAGACCAGGACTTTTATAGACCCGAAACCCGATCCTTAGAAAATTCTGAAAACTCGACCCGGCTTTTTTCTCAACCGTCTTATTGACCAGTAAGGTTGTCGGATAGTTGGAAATCTTTGAATATCCGGTCCGTATCCGGTATCCGAACCGAAAATTTCCGGATATCCGACTTTTTTCGGATCCGGATATTGGCCAGAATCCGGATATTGGCCTTTTTTCGGATCCGGATTATTGGACAGAAACTTCCCTTTCTAGTCTCTTAGGAAACTGATAGTACTAAATTATAAAAAATAATTTTAAAAACTAGGATTGAGCAACTAGTAGGAGTTGCTAACGACCTCTGGTTTGCCGGTCAAGAAACAACAAGCACCACATTAAATTGGGGAATTGCTTTTTTAATTAATAATCCAAACGTTCAAGACAAAGTACATGCAGAATTAGATTCGATTATTGGAGATTTTGATAGAATTATTACAACGGCAGATAGGCCATCCTTGCCTTATTTAAATGCCTTAATTAACGTTAAGTTTAATTAATAGTTTGGGGACAATTTAGGGGATTTAATAGTATATATACATAATTAAAAACAACGATAAATTTGGTAAATTATCTCCATTTGATCTTCATTTGCCCTTCTTTCTCGGGGACTATTTAGAGGTGGATAAGGACAACCTGAGACTTGAAAACCGAAATATTCAAAAATTTAAACTAACACAAATGTTGGAAATTGAAAATTTTAAAGAATTTTCGAAATTGGGGGAAATATCGGAACTTTAAAGGATTTGGACCCCAAAAGGATAAGGACAACCTGAGACTATTATCATTAATTATACACTTTTATTTGTTACAGGAAATTCAGCGAATGGCAAATTTAGTTCCCCTAAATGTAGCTCATAAATTAACAAGAGATGTTAAAATTGATGGATATTATATACCAAAAGATACAATTATTATTCCACAAATTTCAGCAGTTTTAGCAGATGGGGAAATCTTTAAAAACCCTGAAGAATTTAGTCCGGAACGTTTTTTAGATGAAAATGGGAAACTAAAAAAAGTTGATGAATTAATTCCCTTTTCGATTGGAAAAAGGTTTTTTCCTTCTTTAAATTTTGATTGAAATATTTTTTTAAAATTTAAGGCAATGTTTGGGAGAAGCTTTGGCAAGAATGGAATTATTCTTATTTTTAGGAAATTTATTAAATAAATATAAATTTATGCCTGGAAATGATGGAATTCCTTCATTAAAGCGAATTAATGGGGGGACAGCTAGATGTAGAAAATATAAGTGCCGAATTATAAGAAGAGAAGAATCTTGTTCTAATTAATTTGTTTATATTTAAAAATAATTTTTAAAAATATACTCTCTATAATTTTAAAAATTTGGTTGTCCATTGTGAAACTAAATGAAATAAACTTCTTTACTAGATACTACCGATACCAGTAGTGCCTAAAAATATTGGTCCGGTACTTCCGTGCAGAGTTGCGTCGTAATCAAAAAATTTTTTTTCGTAATCGTAATTCGTATACTATACATATTTCCAAATCACGGACATTACAATCGCCGAATTTCATATTTTTTCCATCGCACTCATTTTCTTTTTCTCCTGTCTTTCGATAATAAAATTAAATAATTTAAGGGTTAATATTTATTATTCATATTAAACTTTAAAATTATTTCAAAACATTTTTCTATTTATTTAAATTCATCTTGGCAACCTTTAAATTATTTGAAATGTCAGGTGAATATTTAAATTAAATATTCATATTTTTTAAATTTTTTTTAAATTAAATATTCAACACTCCAATTATTTAATAATTGTTGACTAACAAAAAATTTTTTTAAACTAAAGCTATTAGTAAACAAAAAAATTTTATTTTAAAGTTTAAAAATTTTTTTTCAATTTTATTAATCATTAATGGAATTATTATTATTTAACCATCAAGAATACGAACGTCTTTATAATTGTACTAATCTCGTAATTGACTCAATTCCAACAGAAAAGCGTCGTTTAACACTATTAGCTTTAATTAATTTAATTTTGGGGATAATATATTTTTTACTTTATTTGCCCTGTTTGTTTTCTATTTGGAAACAACATTGGAAAAATGATTGTTATACAATTCTTTTATTTATTGGGGTTGTTGATATAGTTGGATTGATAATTACCGGGTTTCTACATCCAATACTTGCACTACTTGGGGCTGTTTTTTGTTCATATCCAACACTTATATTTATTGCTGGGGGATTAGCTAAATGTAAAAATTAGTGTCAGATTTTTAAAAAATTTCTAAAAAATATATTTTAAGTTGTTTGGGTTGCCGAGAGTACTGCTAATTTGGTTAGTTTAACAAAACTTATTTTCAACTAATTAAATATTATATACTATTTATAGAGTAAATTTTGAGCTCTAGCCCCCTATGCTTAACCCTCTATGGGTTTTTTTAAATTTTTATGGACCTATATCTCTGCCACAAGTTTTTCGATGTTAAAACTTTGAATCGAATTATATGTGTTCTGAATCGAAATTTTGCCTCCGGACTATATCCCAACTAATAACTTTCCATCAAATACCCATAATTATCCAATCTCGATTAATTACCCTCTTTATATGAGAAGTTGAAACTAGACCTGCTCAAGGACACGTATATGGATACAGAATATCAAGATATCCGATACGGATACCGAAATCAGTATCCGTGAGCAGGTCTGGTTGAAACAATAATTATATTCTATCATATACGAGGCATCTCAAATTCCAATTTATTTTTAAAGGTTTTGGCATTTAATCGTTGCTTGCAAGTTATTTCCAACTCAATTTCTTCATTTCTTTTTGAAGGAATAAAAACTTATTTTTGGTTATTAATTTCTTTTTTGTATGCTCTTTTTTGTTTTTGTTTTTTGAGACCTGTACTTTTTTCTGGAATTTATTTTTCTTGGTTTTATTATCCGTTTGTTGGCTATAAAGAGGATATTAATGGAGAAGTTTCTTTAAATTTAAAGAAAAAGAAAATAAAAAATATTTTTAAAAGTTTAATACCCAATTACAGTTTTACCATAATTTAACTGTCGGAATTACTTTACCAACAATTTATTTAATTTTTGCTGTTGGATTAATTATTAAAAATCAAAAATATAAACAAATGGCTAATACACAAGTTTTTTCAGTTAGCCATACGGAGAAATTAGTAAGTTATGGTAAATGCCTAGAGTTGACTCCCCTATCTGTCCGCAAAAAGTATGTGCAATTTTCATTCTGTTCCTGCATTTTTGGCAAATGTACTAAGTAAGAGAAAGATCCAGTTGGCTAGCATTTAAAACGCTCACTAGGCGGGGGTTTAAGATTTATTAAAAGAGAAGGTGAAAATAGCGTCCCGGTAGCTCAGTTGGTAGAGCACCTGTACGTGGAGAGCGAAAGCGCCTAGCAATAGCTGCCAGAGAAGAACGGAATGAAAAAAAACGGAATTTTGGCAAAGAAGTCTTTTAGACGCTCTCAACCAGTGGTCGTTCGTTATTCCGATTTCCGAGTTCCTACTTTTGAACCATTTCCGATTTCCGACAGTTCCGATTTCCGGCACCTTCGTCATTTCCGCTAGACCTCTGCTCTCAACGTTTTACCATCATAAAAATCTTTCAAAATTAAGAAATCGTTTTTAGGTTTTCCTTCAAGTATTTACAATATCAATATTAAATACAACATGTAGTTCGTTGTATTTTGTTATGCAATTTATAAAGCCTGAATGGCTTATTATAATATCCCAATTTGCTTGGTAAATATTTTTTAGTGAGAATCAAATTCGAAAAATTTTCTTTTTCAGGTTTCACGTCCACGGTATTTTTAAATTTAAATTTTCCAAATTTTAAAATAAAACTTTAAGGATTTCCTCCAATTATTTATTTATTTTTGAATAAAACAATTAGAGAGGATTGCCGTTTATTTTTCTTCAAAATATTCAAAAGCAACAAAGTTGGACAAGTAAATGGAGTTACTATTCTCGTAAAACCTGGAATTATTATACAATGATTATACAATGAAATTACTAAGTATAAACACGAAAATCTGAGATGAATCTCATTAATTAAAAAAAATTATTTTTTAAGTTGATGAATAAATATTCTTTTATTTTTCAATATTTTTTGACGGTATGCCTTAATTTGGTCAATTATTTTTTTGGACCTCTTGCCGAACGTGGGTAATTAATTGAGGGAGGGAATTTATTCGTTTTTGGATGTTAAAAATAGACTCACTCTAATTTCTTATGCATAAATTGGTTAGCCTTTGGGAAGGAGGGACGGCGATTATAGAATATCACCAGGCTTATAGAGAACTTATTATAAAATATAAAAAAATAAAAAAATTTTTCGATACTTTCCAAACTTTTTTGATGGATGAGATGATTTTCAATTGAGATTTGAAAGCCGAGTCAGAATAACACCAATAAATCGGTCGCAGACTTTAACCGAAATAGAAAGCCCAAAAATCTTTAAGCTTTCGATCGTCCGAAGCTTAAAGGAGAACACCATGTACTCTTACAATTAAACGCGAGTTGAATATCATAATTGAAAAAATTTTTTATTTAAAAATCTTTTAAAATAAACAAAATTTAAAAAAATTAATGTAAATTTTAAAAATCATAAAAATTTCTCTCATTCAATAAAAGGAAGTTGACTAGTACTTCGCCTAATTGCCTCGAATTCACTGGGGCTTATTAAAATTCCATCTTTCTTCTCCTTTAATAATTCTTTTTCGTCTCTACTAGCAGTTCTTCGATGATAAATTTCCCCAGGTTTTAAAAAATCTCTCGGCAAACTAGAAGATTTTTGGGGGTAAAATGGAGGTAAAGACAATCGTCTTTCTTTGTATAAAGCATCCTCTTTATCTAACATTTTTGAAATTCTTTGGAATTCTTTTTCATAAAATTCTAAAAATATTTAAATATTTTTTGGAAGAAAAATATTTTTTAAACCTTTTTCTTTATCATTTTCGTAGTCAGGCGGTGCGCAAGAAATGTCATGGACATGAGTGAATTTTCTATTAATTTAAAAATATTTTTAAAATATTTAAGGGTATTTATTTAAAATTTTAAGCCTCTCCTTCCGAGGAAACTCCACTTCTATTACTTTAATGGATTAACTCTTTTAACTTTGGGTCAGTCAACTAAGATTCAGTTCTATTCTAAACCTCTGCTGGATTAGCTAAAAATCATCTAGAAGCTTTAGAAAGCTCCAATAACTCAATTCCAAAATAGGCACTCGAATATCGATAAAACTATTAAAGGGATTCGTGAAAAAGATTCATCATTTCGAGAGAGATTAGTGGTTGTCACGGGAGGCTGATCTAAGTTATTCCAAATATCACAAGGTTCCAATATTATGGGTAGGGTTGGAGGCCCGATCCGGCCTGGTCCGAAAGATCGAGTCGGGCATCGACGGTCGGGCCGACTCGATAAAAATGAGGCCCGAAAGAAATGACTCGAACGTCGGCCCAACTCGAAAACCCCAACCCTAATTGTGGGAGTTCAAAAAGATTTCCTTATTCCCTATACCTTTCTAAATCATTGTCCTCAAATTCTTTTTGTTGTTCTAATTGTTCACCAACTCCGTTCTCCTTTTTACTTTCTTCTTTATCTTCTTCCAATTTTTCATTTTCAGAATCTGTTAACTTTAACCCTTTAGAATGATAAATAACAAAAAGATCGGCAATAAAAGAGAGAAGACGAAGAGCACCATAAAGTGAATGAAGCCTTTTTTGAAAAGGACTTTTGTTAAAATTTATTTGCAAAATTCCCTACCAAACTCGAAGTTTGTCTGTTGCATATAAAGCACATGCCCCTTTGTTATCACACTTTTGTGTCCAAAATAGACAAAAATTGTCAATTATTGCACCCCAAATGATTGGGGAAGGTAAAGTTGCTTTTTAAAAGAGGGAAGAAATTAGAGAGAAAAGAGAGAGAAAACCTCTTTTTAAGAGACATCTCTTGCTTTGTTATAAGGCTTTAATGGTCCCATTTTATCCCTTAAGAGTTTTCCTACAATAGGATTTCTTATACAGTCCACCTCATTTTTGGATACCCCAAAATTAGGTAAAAAGTATTTTAAGGTTCGTTTTCAAAATTTATTTGACCGAGGAGGCAGGCTCTTTTTAATTCTAATAGCGAGTTTCGACTGTTAAGAAGAAAATATTTTTGTCTCTTATAAAGAGGTTTTTCAAAATAGAAAGAAACACTACCAAGTAAACTAACAAGAAAACCATTAAAACCCAAAGAAATGCTTCTGTGTTTGGGAGGAACAGAACTAGAAAAAAGAAGGAATAAATAAATCATTAAGCATTTTTACCGTAACATAATTAAAACGCCTGGAACAACGCCCATTCCACCAACAATCTTTAAGTTTAATTTTGTTTTCAAAAAAAGAATTAATCGAGAAAATACATACCCCGCCGATTGCCATATTTCCAAAGTACCAATATCTAATTAAAGAAAATTTTTAGATGAGAAATAGTCCCAGATAAGACTCAGTGAAGAGTGTTCGATTAATACTCTAATATTCCTATATCCTCTACAAAACATGGGGAAGGGGGTTATCTGAGTCTTTAACGTTCTCTACTTTTTAGTAGAGAACCAGTGCTGGGTATGGCTCTGGGAGCTAGCTCCAGAACCGGCTCTGGCGGATTTTGAAAAAGATTTTGAAAATCCCGGAGCCAGGGCCAAAATTTTAAAAGATCGGAGCCAGGGCCAACAAATGCCAAATATGTACCCAGCACTGTATAGAACGTTAAATTTTCATTTTTATCCCCGCCCTCTTACGAGGGGAAAGGACAATTTTCAAAAAAAAATATTTTTTTATAAAATAAATCTAAAAAATCCCTTACAATTTATTCATACAATCCCCCTCATTACAAAAATCTCTCGAAACTTTTCCTCCATCTGCACATTTACAAGAATCAAAAATTGGCGTTTTTTGGTTATTCAAAATTGAAGTAATATTTGTTATATGGCAACCAGCGTGACAAGGAGAAAAGAAAACATTTAAACCGGAACGGTCACAAACTGGATATAAAGGGGAACCTTCACAATAACAACCTTTAAGGCAATTGAAATTTGTTGGACTTAAATGAGATCGACTTTGGACACTGAAAAATTTAAAAAGAAATTCTTTGTTTTAATTATATTTACAGAGCAAAATTCACAAAAAACGAACTTTAATTCTTTATGATTGAATTCCCACTACTAGAGATCGACTGAGTTTAAAGCTCCGACCGAGAGATATCGAAGAGAGATCTCTGAGGCTGTCGGAGAGATCTCTGAGGCTGTTTAAAATTATCGGACCGAGAAATTTCTGAGTTTAGAGCTCGGGAGCCAAGATTTTCAAGATATGTATTGATTCTCCCTTTTATAGATTTATACCCTACGTCGAATCTGCACCTAAAGCAGATTTTTTTTTGAGAATTTTTTTGAGAATCTCGATTTCCATTCTTGTGAATTAGTTATAAATGTTAAACATTTACATAGATTCCCCCAATGCTGTCATTGTAGATTTACACCCAACAGTCGAATTTAAAATAGAAAAGCAAGCAGAAAATGCACCCGTGATTGCAACCTAGTAGAAATGAGGAAGAACAATTTGGTAAAAAAACGAACTAATAGAGCAGCTCGTCGGCCTTGTAAACGTAATTTTCTCATTAATAAACTTCCACATAAAACACCAACGGCAAAAGCGACAATACCAACAACACCTATTCAAAGGAATTTTCTGTAAAACTTTTGGAACATTTACATATATTTATTGTAAAACTCAAAAAGATGGGGTCCTTAACACACCCATGCAGGAAATTAATCGAAAGTGATCATCTAACTATCTTTGGAGATAGATTCACCCAATGCTGTCATATTAGAAAGTCTAGCTTTGATATAAGTAATCTTAATGTAAACCCCTCTCGAAATTGAATCTTCTAACCAATCCCTTCGATTATCAAGATTCGACTGAGTCTATTTTCGAGTTGATACATTAATTAGAGATTTTACAAGTAATCAGGTGTTTGCGGAATTCGTAAATTGGATGTTTTTTTTGTGGATTGCGGAAAAGGATTTTTTAAAAGAAAACGGTGATAGTGAACAAAGAATTGTGTGAAAATTAAAAAAGTCTAATCTCCGTAGATCCTAGTAACAACAAGAACTATTGAGGCAAGAATATTAAAATAAAAAATAATTAAAATACCCATTAATCTATTAACTATATATTGAGGTATTCCAAATTGTAATTCCAAATATTTTGGCAAAAAAATATGAAAACCCTTAAAATAATCGAATTTAATTTCAAAAAATATTTTTTCCCAACTTTAAAAGCAAGAACATCAATAATTCTTCCAATCATCGCCCAACGATAAATTGGACGTTTAAACACAGTGAGTATATTATTTTGAAAATCAGAAGACAAAGCATTGAAACTTTTTGGTATCTTTTTTAAAAAAATAATTATAATTTTTGGATTTATTTTAAAAATTGGCGTTCGTACCGTTATATTGGGGGGTTTTTTTATATTTTTGTGATTAGTCTTAGATTCTTTGATTCGAGTCTCGGACGACCCGGACTTGACTAGTTCGAGTTCCGAGTTAGACTATTCGTTATCTATTAGTTAGCTCTGGATAGTCTAATCTTCAAAAATTTCTAAAAAACAGGTATGAATAAATTAATAGATTGTGTCTATTTTCAATGTTAGCCACACCGGATTAACCCGGAAAAATCCAACCGGAGCCGGTCCGGCACTAATTAAATCCAAGTTTACAAATTCGTGGGATGTATGTACTAAACTAAACCCAAATTTTTTATATTTAATTACATTTCCATTTTCTGATTTTTCCAAATGTCTATCCACCAAAGCCAATCTTCTAGGAACTTTTTCTTCTCCTTCAACTAATTTTTCTTGGTTATTTTCTGTTGATTTTGGATTTCGAAAACAAAAAAGGAGAACAGAAGGAAAAAACAAAACACCCCCAATTAACATAAAACCTTGCCACCAACGACCTAAAAATAAAAAAAATTTTTTTTATGACGGGTCACTCATTCCATCCCTAATTACAAGATAGTTTATGACGTTAAAATTTTTCAAGTAATACCAGGAAATTTTTCAAATACCCCAACGTCACCCACACATATCCTCCTCCCCAAACTCAAATTTTTGTATACATATGTTGCGTCCGCACTTGGAGATCCCATCAACGGGTTGGATAGTGGCACAGTCGGTTGTGCTTCGGTCTGGGCTCTTTCCGTTATGGTTCAAATCCATCTCCTATTCATAGCTCATTTAATTTCTAATAATTATTTCAAATTTCAAATTAATTTAAATACTCCAACAAATCTAAAACAAATATCCTTACCAATCCACATTGGATCCCTTGGAGTAATTCCATGAGGCGCTAAATAAATATAATAAACATTTTTCTACTCAAAAAACCTTCTCCATCATAATATAATTTATTAAAAACAGAACCCATCCAAAATCCAAGCATTGGGCCCATTATACGAATACAAAACATTCCCGCTTTAAATTAAATTTTTATTTATTAAAATTTAATTAATTTTAAACCAAAATATAAAGGTAAATTTGTTTTTTTAACATTATCATCAATTAAAGGCTAAAAAATAAAGAAAATTATTTTTTTTGATTAAAAATTAATTTTATTATTTACCAATCCCAAAGAGAAAGGCATTGTCCTTCCAATACCCAAAATTAAAAGCCCAAAGAAGATGGTTGCTGTAGGTCCCATATTTGAGACATTTTTGTTACAACGAATTTTTTCTATCTTTAAATTAATTTGGGGAAAGATTTATTGACTTTTTATATGTAGTTTTATTTGAATATTTCTACGGATTTGTTAGGTTATTGGGGTTTAATTTATAAATTAATAGGTAAATTAGATTCTGTATGACATCAATGGAAGTCGCTAAAGATAATTCCATAACGATAGAAATAAAATACAAAAATTGGAAAAATTTCTCTATGCAAGTAAGCATTCCATTAAAATTTTTTATCAATTTTTAAAATCTCTCAATCCTTCACTTATTTATTCTAATATAAAGACAGTCTCTAATAAAACGACACCCTAGAAGGGCGTTAAAATTAAATCGACCTGTCGTTATATTAGAATAAATACGGTATTGCTCCTTTCAATTACATACCTATATCAAAAGGTGTAATCGAGGGAAGAATTGAGAAACCCCTTCCAATCAACATTTCTTACATACATAATTTTCAAAATTTTATTAAAAACCCCCAACAAAATACCTAAAATATTTAAAATCCCTTCTTACCATTCCCCTCAAAGCATTCAAAGTTTTATCACAAAAAGCATAAGAAGTGGTACTTAGTGAACGTAAATTGTCTACATCCTTTTTATTTGCTGTATTGTGTTTTCTCAAAAATCTCTTTAAAAAACTTATTAATTAAATAATTTTTAAATTTAAAAATTAAATTAATAATTTAAAGAAAAACTTACATACATAAAAAGCTAAACAAGTCTCATTTCCATTTTCAACTAAATTCCAATCATTTTCCATGCATTGGTCAAATTCTGATAGCCAAGAAGTTGATGCTTCTTGAGGGTAATTATTTAACTAAAAAAATTGAAAATGAGGCTAAAATTACGAAAAATTTGGGGAACTGGAGGTTATAGTGTTAGTTAGCATTTACTAAAATTTCAGAATTTTCTTAATAATATTTCTGAAGTTATGGCCAAAAAAGATGGAATATTAGACTTTTTTTTATTAAAGTAAAAATATGTATGGTATTTTATAGAGCTCGAACCTTTCAAATTGTCAGACCAACTATCCGGGTTTTTTCTCTTAAAAATACCTGGCCGGATTTTCTGGGCTAAACCCTCAAAAACCCGAAAAACCTTTTATATCAAAATACCCATAGTACCCGCTTTATTAAAAATAAATTTTGAGAAATTTTTTAGAATTTTTTAAATAAAACTTGAAGGATGTCAAAACTTATTTCTAATCACCAAACTTTATATCGAATAGGCTGTGCCCATTGCTCTGCCGGCAATTCAGCAATAAATTGGTCAAAACCTGTGCCTACAGGTAATCGACGTATATCGCTTTCTATTTGCCATTCTAATGTTGAAGTATTTAATTCTATTGTTTTGACAGGAAAAAGAAAATGTGAAGAACTAATTAATAGATTGGCAACTGAATTAATTAATGTCTTTTAATTTAAAAAATTATATTTACTTGCAATTAAAATACAACCACCGCCAATCCAGCGAGCTCTATTTCCCTAATTATTGTTTTAAAAATATTTTTGAATTAATTTAAAGGCGAAAGGCTTTACGAAAACAAAGTAGTTCGAGAAGATTTTGCCACTGGGTCGGGGAAATTCTTGTTATTATCAAAATCCGAACCAAACGTTTCCGGATATCCGGGCTGTGCCAGATAGCAGGATTGGTAACTATAGACAGAACAGAACGATTCTAGAAGGAAGAACACAGAAAAATAGAAATAACAGTCGAACTTAAAAATAAGGTATGTATATCAAATACTAGAACACACAATAAAATATGAGTGAGAGTGTAGAGCTTGCGATACCCTCTAAGTGGAGGTCTGACTTTAGAAAATTCAGTATGATTTTTTATTAGGAGCTGTGGTTTTAGAATAATATTTGTATTTATTTTTTAAAAATAAACGCCTACTTTACTCCCCAAATAAGCAACAAAAACAACACTAAAAATTGCCAAAATTAAAAATTAGAAAATTTAAACAAACGAGGGAATATAACCAAAATCCCCAGCAGATACCATCATTCCAGAAATTTTGCTTGGAATTTGAAATTGTTTTTCTATTGAGACAATGGCACTTAAAAATTAATTTTGTCGCCAATAGAGAGAGTTTAAAGAAAATTTCGAAAAATCACCTAGTCATAAAAAACCCTCCAATAGATTCAAGAAAATAAACACTTAAAAAAAGCACAAAAAAGCAGCAAACAGTCGAATCAAAATTTTTAAATCGGCGATTGATTGCCATTTTTAATTAATTTTAAATTATTAATTAAATTAGAAAATTTATTAAATTAATTTTTGCATTAAATTTTTTATTTGTTTAAGAGGAGAAAATTGAGAATACTAAATAAACCTAAAAATATTTTTTGGTTTACATAGAAGGTTTAGAAAAAAACCCAAATTTGCAAAAAAATATGTATACTAAACGAAACATTAAAAATCGAAAGAAAAAATCACAAAAAAAGAATATTCTTAACCTAACACGAAAATTTACTTTCTAATTATTTTTGGAGGTCCTTAACCATAACTTTTTTTGCATAAATTTAGAGAAAGTATTTTTAATTTTAGAAAATAAGCGTAAAAATAAGCTTATTTTTAAAATAAAGAAAAATTTTTTCTACGTTCAACTTCCTTAGTTTTTAAGCCAAAACTTTACTTTATTCCAATAATTTTATTGAAATTTTGTATCATTTCCTAAATGTTTATTAGCCTGTTTTTAAAATTAGACCCTTTAGGTATTCCTTCTATTAAAGTTTTAATTTAAATTTAATGGACCTCAAAAGTAGAACTCTCAAAAGTTATTCTACACTTTTGTGTTTTATATTTAAAATTAAGAAAGAGTTTAGCAAAAGTTTATCCATCGGGTAGGATTCCAAGCTACGATCTCCTCGTAGTTATAGCTAGGCGCTTTCGCTCACCCTATAAAGAGTCTTTACCACTGAGCTACCAGGGCATCGAAAAATCCTTTTAGATCGTTTAACCCCGCCTAAGCATTTTAAATACTCTAAGCTTAATCATCCTTACAATTATATATATTTCTATCCGATTTATTCTAATACACCTAGAGAATCATTTAAATTGTGCTCATCTTAAAATTAAATTACCCACTATATTTTAATAAAAATTATTTTTTTAATATTTAAAAATGACAAAATATATTTTTTAGTTAATCGAATTATTGGCAAATTAAAAAAATTACTGATAAGACAATTAGAGGACATCTTATGTTTTTATAAAAAATTATGACAAATAAATGATAAAAAGAATAGAAAAGTGAGCAAAAATTAAGAAGAAAAAAGAATACTTAAGACAGTAAAAATTAATCAAATTATTTTTTAAGAAGCTTAAGAAAAAATTGAAAATCAAACAATTTATGTAGATTATTAATTTAAAAAAAATAATTTTTTTGAAGACATAATTTTTGATAGTTATAAATATTGTTAAAGGATTGTAATGAAGCCAAGGTCTTCTAATTTTTGGTCACTTCTGTTTGAATATTTGCCTGATTAGATTTGTGATATTTAAAAAACTTCAATAGATGTAGTTTCTAAGTTTTTAGTTCGAAAGAAATTCAAGAAAATGAAGAAGATTTCCCATCCTCATTAAATGTTTCTGAGTTGTTAATAGTGTCCGGGATTTTCAGGAATTCGGACACAAATCCGGGTAAACTCTTCTGAAGTCCGCAAATTACTCTTACTGGAGTAAAATCCTAAATCCGGTTTCCTGCCGGATTAAGCCAAAAAATTCAGTCGGATCCGTAATGAGCGCAAAATCCGCTTTTCGAACCCGAAAAATGAGCTTGCCTGGCACTACTTGTTAATACAAAACATTTTATTTTGCATTATTTAGTTAAAAAAAAAGAATTTCTGTCTATATTTTATCTCGGTCAATCATTTGTCTTTAAATAAAAGTCATAAAAATTGTTGCCACTTAAATGGAGGCAAAACATGTGATTTAATTTTAATAAAAAATTTTTTAATAAAAAAAGATAAAAAATTTTTACTTTAAAATCAGTTCTACTATGTAAATATAAAAAAGTAGGAAATAATTTACGAAAGTAGTCAGAGTTATAAATATAGTACATAAATTTAAATAATGCTTACAAAAAATTAAATGTAATTAACATAAATGCTCTAATAGAAGTTCTCATTTTTATATTTTAATGGGTCCTATTGAGTGGGCTTCTATTTGAAAATTTATGGTAAATGACTAGATTTGAAAGTAAAAAAATCTTCGTGCCTTTTAAATTAAAAAAATAGGATGACTTTAATAAAAATCAAAATTGTTAAAAAAGAAATGTTTAGTGTAAATATAAATTATAATTGTTTAACAAAGTGTTTCAAAAATTTTCCAGTGTTCGAAAATGGTAAAAAAATGATTTAAAAATCATTAATATGTATACAAAAATAAATAGAGTAAGCGAAACAAGCATCTTGCTAGTGTTTTTAGTTTAATGTGTTCAGCTGTCATAGTCTCCCTTATAGTAAAGAACAGTCAAGCTTATGAGTAAATCCGTAATTTTTAATGAAATTCAAGTAAATCATTTTATTATTTATAAATTGATCCGGGATTTTATAAGGGGAAAATATGCATAAAAATATGCATTATAGTGCGTAATATGCAAAAACACACTGAATAATCAAAAAGAAACTTAAATGCTCAGAAAAAATAAGCAAACCGCGTCTAATTTTAAGCTTCTAAGGATAAACTAGAAAGCCAGTTATGAACGAGTAATCCTTTCAAATTTCGTTCAAGTTTCAGTCATTGTATTCCTAATGAAGATAGGAACGAAACGAGATCTTCTTTGTCGAAAACTGTTTTCGAAATAACAATCTCGAATTTCTATTCATTTACCAACCCAATCTACAATTGATAGTCTCAGCTCTTTCTCTCCACAAATTTCAATTTCGCTTTACTCTATTTAAAAAAGGAGTAATAATAAAATAAATTAATGAATTTTAAATAAAATAACCGGGCGTCTTTCAAATTTTATATCAAAAAGTTTCTCATTTTCACAATTTTAATCTCTTCCATTGCTTCGCTTTTTACGTGCCAAAATTCCTTGTTGAAACACATTTGTTTGTGGTATATTTTGTTGTGCTAATTTTGTACAAATTTCAGGAATTCCCCCATTTAGTGCTTGTTGTTGTAATAAATTAGACAGACCATTATTTTGAACAGGTTGGAATTTTTGAGGGTTTGAATTTATTTCATTAGTGATGTTTTGGAACCATGTTGCAAAATCGCTTAAAGATTAATTTTTGGGATTTTGTTGTATAAATTTAATCTTTTGAAATTACACCCATAATTTTAAAGATTGCACCCCCTTATCTCACTCATGGGCATTTTTCTTCAAATGGAAAATCTTTAAGAAAGGATATCTTTACAAAAATTTTTCTGGCTGACAATAAGTGCTTAAACTTATGACGGAAAAGTTTAAAGATTGGGATAAATCGAAAAAAAGATAGGCTATATCATGTCTCAATAAAAACCTCGTTCCAGGCGAGGGACGGAAACAAACAGTTGGCTGAACAGGAGCTTGTTGTGGCTGTTGTTGTTGTTGATCATCAGAACGTCGTCCTCTTCCAAGAGAAAGCTCTCTTTGATCATTATAATTGTTAGAATTACTTCCGCTCACAATCATAGGTAATTGACAACTCTCTTCAACCGGGAAACTTGTTTGGCCTGGGACACGTTTCCCATTACTATTTCCAAATCCGCCCAGATTGTTAGAATACAAATTGTTTGTTGGTGGATTATACTGTGGAGGAATGTTTTGATTTGGTTGGGAATAATATTGAGAATAAGGAGAATATTGTTGTTGTTGCTCTCTTTGTAAAGTTATTCCAAACCCGAAAGGGTCGGCATCTATATCGTTGACAGAATTACTAGTTCCAAAACCGGAGGGAGGAGAATAAGGCTGTTGTTGTGGTGGCTGTTGATTAGCGGATGGATATTGAGGATAAACAGGAGGGGGATTTGTTGGAAGAGGCACATTTGTTTGTTGTGGATAGACGGGATTGGGTATTGGATTGACATATGGAGGATTAATCGGATTCACATTTGAAGGGTTAATATTTGTTTGTTGTGATTGGCCAGGCAGACCATTTGGATAGACTGTTGGAGAGTAAGGAATGTTGTTATTTGGGTTGACATTTGGTTGTCCTCCTGGTTGTTGTTGACCAGGCTGTCCTATGCCTGATTGTCCAGTACCTTGGCCGCCTGGTTGATTTATAGGCGTATTTTTGTCAGTTTCTGGGGCATTGTTAGTCTTTTTTCTGTCTTTATTTCCTTGGTCAATGCCTCCTTTAATTTGTTAGAATTTTATGTATTATATTACATCAGAATCCTAACCTTGTTGTCCTTTATCATCTTTTTTGTTTGCATCTTTGGAGTCCTTTCCTGGCAAACCTGGCTTTCCCGGTTTGTTTTTATCTTTTCCCTGTTGAGCCCCATCTTCGTTATTCTCTTCATCCTCGCCTGAAGGTTTTTCAGCATCAACATCTGTTCAGTTAATAAGGAATTAAATAGTTTAACTTTAGAGTGGATCAAAAAAATATTTGTAAAAGGTGTCCAATCTCCTTATTTTTCATCTCAATTCTATCCCAATTTTTATTCTATACAATCAAACCTGATTTTTCAGTTTGTTCCTCATCCTCCTTTCCTGCTTCGCCTACGCCCGGCCCATCCTGTTCTCCATCCCCTTCCGCTTCATTTTCTTCAGTTGCCGCTCCATCTTCATTTTCCTGTCCGTCTCCAGCTTCACCTGCTTGCCCATCACCTCCTTCATTCCCTTCCCCATTTTCCTCATCATCATCGTCTGCTTTTAATCCTAAAACAATAAATTGCGAGATCCGTGTAACGACTTTATATCTCGAGAAAATCTATTCCTTAAATTATTTTTAGATGTAGGCTACAGTCGGACCTCACTATAAGATGACTTAAATTGTGGTAAGATGCACCTACACCACTTGGCCAAATAACATAAAGAATGTATACTAAATTGAGGTGTGATATTGTTATCTGACCCTCCCAAAATTATTACAATGAATTTCAAACATAATCCAACTCAATAAAAGGATTATTTCACTTATAAACGGTAAAATAAAAACAAATAGAATTACTATCAATTAAAACAGCAAAAAGCAAAATGGCCAAAAGTATTCGGTAATTCCTCAACATCTCTCTAACAATATTTCATAATTTATATTTTAAAAGCTGGGCAAATTAAAAAAAAATTTTTTAAATAAAATAAATGTCAAATGAGTGGATTTCTTTTAAAAATGATTGACTTTTTGTGGGGAGACGAGAAGCTTTATTTAAAATCAATTAAAAAGCCTTGTCAATATTCTCAATTTTTCTTGCCTTTCCCGATTTCCTTTATTTGGGAATATATTTCTTTATATATTTGCACTTTCTCATATGCTTTATATCTTCCTTATCCATCGATTTTAATTGGCGATTGTATAGACAAAAAAAGGGAAAAAATGTTTTGTTGGCCAACTCCACAAACATCAACAATAATTACTCGATTATTCACAGACTTGGCCATCTCACAATCTTTTAAACTTTTTAATGGCATTACAGAAAGAAGTTATCAAACCCTCAGAGAGTCTTTTAAAAGTCCTAAAATGTTCAAGTATTCCTCCAAATTTTAAATTTTAAATATCTATGATTGTAGTTTTTGAAGCATACCGTATTTCCTTTAATAACTACCCTGGGTATTGTTTCGACCTTCCGCTGGAGGGGTAATTAATCGAGGAAGGTTAATTATACGAGGTTTGAAATTTGAAGGTGTTTTAGGGCATTGTTTGGGGGTAATTATTGTTTCAATCTATCGTTAGATGGGGTAATTAATGGAAGTGGGGTTCGAAGGAGGGCAATTAATACAGGCTATACGTTAATTAACTGTTGATGAGTATTTCATGGAAATTAATTATATTTTTCAAAATTATATAGACAACGAGTGTGTGTGGCCTAATAAAGCAAAACTCACACCTGTTGGAGGTGATGATTCATTGTTTAAATTAAAAATAAACCAAAAAATTAGAAAATTAAACAAAAAAGTCTAAAAAGAGTGTACCATGGACGTAGAATTTTATGTAGAATTTTTTGGTAAAACTGATAAAAAGAAATGAATGAATAAAAATTTATGGAATTTTAAGTTATGATCGATTTAGAATAAAATATTTAGTAGCCCTTCCATTTAAACATTAGAAACAAATAAACATTAGGGTGAAGATTAAATAGATCCTTTTTCATTAAAAATAAAGATTCGACTTTTTTATTTAATATCTCCTTTTTACGAAATTTATTCCAGGTTGCTTTTCATTCTTTCGTCGATCTATAACAGACCGACACTTGTAAGTTTGGAACAAAAATCGGAAGAAAAAATCGGAAATGCTGAATTAAAGAAGTTACTCGAATGTTTTTCAACAATTTTGAAATAAAAAAATTTCTTGAAACTTCTTTCCATGTCATCTTAACCGTCGTCTTCTTGGGGGAATGAACTTTCAAACAATAAAAAAATTCCAATGGATTTGAGATTGATAAAATTTTTGTAAAGTTAACTGAGAAAGACGTCAACTTTTTGAAAAGCTGCAAGGCCTCGGAATTAATCAGACAATAATGTGATATGTAAAATAAATAATTATACACAAATTATACAAAATGTTTCTCAACAACAGTTTAAAATAAAAATGTCTTTTAGTGAGCTGTGCAGTCTGAACAAAAAAGAGTAATCGAGCCTTTCAAATAGAAGCTATAGGTAAAATGTTTTGAAACCTCTTGATATTTGTTTTGTGATAAAATAGGAATTATTGTCTTTGATTGAAACGACCCCACAAAAATGTCTCCTGGCTAAAAATGTGATGCATTCCTTGTTCTCACATATGTACAAATACACTCGAATAAGATACATTTTAAATTTGGCTGACCATCGGTGGCCATTACTTATTTAAATCAGAATTTTTATAAATCAGAATTTTTAAACCAGAATTTTTTCAAAAATCAGAATTTTTTTAATCTGAATTTTTTAAAAATCAGAATTCTAATTTTCAGAATTTTATTTTTCAGAATTTTAATTTTTTAAAAATCAGAATTTTAATTTTCAGAATTTTATTTTTCAGAATTTTAATTTTTTAAAAATCAGAATTTTAATTTTCAGAATTTTATTTTTCAGAATTTTAATTTTTTAAAAATCAGAATTTTAATTTTCAGAATTTTATTTTTCAGAATTTTAATTTTTTAAAAATCAGAATTTTAATTTTCAGAATTTTATTTTTCAGAATTTTAATTTTTTAAAAATCAGAATTTTAATTTTCAGAATTTTATTTTTCAGAATTTTAATTTTTTAAAAATCAGAATTTTAATTTTCAGAATTTTATTTTTCAGAATTTTAATTTTTTAAAAATCAGAATTTTAATTTTCAGAATTTTATTTTTCAGAATTTTAATTTTTTAAAAATCAGAATTTTAATTTTCAGAATTTTATTTTTCAGAATTTTAATTTTTTAAAAATCAGAATTTTAATTTTCAGAATTTTATTTTTCAGAATTTTAATTTTTTAAAAATCAGAATTTTAATTTTCAGAATTTTATTTTTCAGAATTTTAATTTTTTAAAAATCAGAATTTTAACATCAAGTTCCTTTTGTCGTTTACCTTATTCTACTTTCCCTTTTTGTTTTTTTAAAAATATTTCTTTTGATATTTCCAAAATGACAGAAAATAAAAAATATTGTTAGGATGATGAGAGTGCACGACGTCTAAACGGGAAATCTAATCGTCTCGCAACGAGAAAAATTAGGCTCCGTACAAAAGACCGGTGGAAAAAAGACCGGCAAGGGCAAAAAAGGGCAAAAGACCGTTTTTTTTTGCCCGTTGCGGTCTTTTTTGCTCCGGTCTTTTGTTCAGAAACGAAGAATAAAATGAAAATTCCTCAACACACTCTCTCGCTTCTTACTTATTCTCATTTTCCCGCTTTTTTTCCCAAAATTTATTTTTAATTTTTATGAAATTTAAAAATAAGACTGAGGAGAATGTTTAAAAAAGTCTTGGATTTTTCATAAAAAAAATTGTGATATGTATGAATTTTACTAAAATTTTTACTTCAGTAACTCATTTTTACCTTTTTATGCCACTTTTTTATAATCCGAATTAGAATTTTTTTTAAATGTAATTTTTTAGAGTCAAAATTGTTTACAAAATTTTAAATAATCAAAATTTATCATTAAAAATCAAAATGTTGTTCTTTGTTGTAGCCATTCTTGCTTTGTTTGTAATGTAAGCATTTTTTTATGTTAACTAAATAAATTTTATATTATTTCAGAATCTTCCTTGGGTGCGTTATCTACAATTTGTTTAAGAAATGGCGAGCTCAATATGGAAGGATGTTGGCTATACCTGTGCTTGTAGTAACAAAAAACGATTTAGTTGATGCTAGTGATGAAATTGAAAAAATTGGTAGAGGTTTTTTTTAAATATAATTAGGAATTTTTTAATTATTCTTTAATATAATTACGAACCGGCACTCTAAATATCGAGTCTTTTTTTAAAACGACCCGAACCGAAAAACATCAAGCATAAACGAACCGGCTCGAACCATTAAAATGATCAAAAAAGTAACTAAAATGGGCCCTATAATTGAAAATAACCCATAATATATTAATTTGAAACAATTTTAATAGGATTGTGCCTTGGTATGATAAATTTGAATTCAATGGATAAAATTGATGAACTATCTGAATTGGTTAATGAATTTGTGGCTAGTAAAAATATTTTGTACAACCCGGATGAAAGCAGCAGATGTTTTTGTGAGCTTATTCAAAAAATATCTAAAATTATTTCAATGTTTTTTAGGCATGAAAAAGTTCAAGAATGGAAATGTTCAAATTTACCTTAATCGTTTTGGACATGTAGGAGATGTTCTTGGATCTGGAAAAGTAAGAAAAATATCTTTAAAAATTTTAATAAATAAAATTTTAGGGGAAAAATTATATTCTTTTGGTGGATGACCAGTTTCCGACGGCTGTTGAACTGGATAATTTCGGTATTTATTATCTTTAATTGAATTTTTAATTTTATAAAAATTAAAGGATTCGACGTGACTCAAAGTTCTATTGAAGAGGATTCTTTTTTTAATCAACCTGGCAATATCGAAGCTACTGCTGCATTTGATCGTTAGTTTTTATTTAATTTTTGAAAATATTTTTTTTAAATTTAGCAAACAAAAGTACAGAGAGGATTTATGAAACAACTCCAATCGGAGTTTTTCCTTTTGTAACTACGTTCAAACCTGATGATCCAACACTTTCTGGATGTTGTTTTTAAATAATTTTGAATTTAATTTAAATCAATTTTTAGGTGGAGCATTTTCATATTGTGAAATTTCGGAACAGCCTTCTGCAGAGTTTTCGGTTCTCATTTCTGGAAATTGTTCAATCGTGTTTATTGAATCAGTATTGAATGCTCATACTTACCTCTGTACATACGACAAATGGTTTTTAATGAGAAAATTTAAAGCACATTTCTTGCCGGTTTTTCTTTTAAATTAAAATTTTTACTGTTTTCGAATTTAGGCTGCAACAAAGAAAGATGGACCCAGCGCTGGTGGCGCTATTGCTATGGCTTTCATGAGCGTTCGTTTAAATAAACCGGCTAAGCAAGGTAAATATACAAAAATAATTTAAAAAAATAAACTAATAAATTCAGATACTGTAGTATTTGGAGAATTAACACAGGTCAGTCCTTAAAATGACGAATTAAAAATTTCGATTAATTTTCAGAAAGGAATACTTGTACCTGTTGGAGGAATGCGTGAGAAGCTTATGGCTGCCAGAAGAAATGAAATCAAAAATATAATTTTCCCCAGTATGATGAAAGCAGAATGGGATGCTTTGTCATCCGAAGAAAAGAAAGGATTTCAAGTGCATTTTTGTTATGAACTCAAGGATGCAATTAATATTGTTTTTCCAAAAGGTAAAATTCAAAGCTTGAAATTTTTCAAATAAAATTTATTTTTAGATGAAGTCGAGGAGAGGGAGCGGCAAGAATTTGTTGGTAATGAAACTTGAAAGAATTAGTGAGAATGAAGTAATTAATTGTTTAGAAAATTTTAATTAAAAGTGCTGATCTCTTTTTAAGAAGAAATAATACCTCTATTTATGTTAAATATCATGTTTTTTAATTATTGATTTTTTCTCCTATTTTTTGAAAATAAATTTTTTGATATTTAAATGTTTTTTACGTTTTAATAAGTTATTTAAATACTTTATTTTTATTAATTAATTTTTTAATTAAAAATTTTTGTAATTTTGAATGGACAACAATATGTTACAATTTTTGCTTCTATTGACAGCTTTGCTTTGTTCAGTTGCATATCTGATCGAGGATTCACATTGGAGGGTTGGAATGTTCTTAATTATCTATTTGACGTTATTTTCTTTGTCGGAAGCTGAATTTTTCTTAAGTCACGTTCTTACTATCAAGTAGTTTTTCTCGGAAAAATAACCAGAGAAACTACAAGGCCAATAAACAAGCGATGTGCTTGTCTGTCTTACGTCATTTAGGTTTAACAATAAGCAAGTCATTTTGTTTTCAAGCTCAATAAAAATTTTTTCAGGAAAAAGTTCGTAATTTGAAAGATTCTATAATGAAACGACCTGTTATGAGCTTAAATTTGGAAACGTGGAAAACTTATATTCAATCCTCGCCACGTAATTATTCAATGATTGTTATGCTTACTGTTTTCCCCTAATATGAATTGCCCCATTTGCAAGTTTGTTTTTTTATTAAATTTTTATAAATTTCTTTAATTTTTAGACCGGTTTATGATTTCATTTAATTTTAGAATTTTTAAAGGCAATTGTGTTTTACTTGTTGTAATTGGGACTTGAGGCTTTTGATGAAAAAGTATTTTTTAAATTTTTAGATTTTCAATTTTCTTTTTAGTCTAAATGTTCAGAAAATTCAATAATTGTTGGATCATCTGGTTAAATGGACTTTATTGCAAGAAGTTTTTCAAAATTTAAGATGATTTTTGGAAATTCTGTTTAGGAAATTGTTCAAGATCCTTTCGATTATTTTTGTAGTGTAACTTCCTCTGAGAAATTTAACACAAAAAGAATTTTTTCTGCCTGGCTATATGCTCGTTGGATTCTTTTGGTCGATTCAGAGGCTCGTTTTCCTTCAATCCTTGCAAAACCAACAGTCAGCAATCCGTGAATTTTTTGTGATTAATTAAAAAATATTCTATTAATTTTAGTTATAATTATCTTGATCAAAGTCTCCTTCAAGCAGAGAAGTTGGCACAAACAATCCTCGAAGTCCAAAAGAAAATTTCACAAGCCATAAAACTTTTGGACCAGATGTGGAATTTATATAATGGAATTTATGTACCCAAAAAAGAATGTTTCTATCCTAATTTGGAGGTTATTACGGAGGTTTCTTTAATTTATGAAGATTTTAATAAATAATTTTTGAGGGTTCTAATCTTCAAAATATTGTTGAATATGCAAAACCGGACATACAGAAACACTTTTGGTTCTTTTAACTTGATATTTTTCAATTGAGAACTGCTTATGATCTTCTAAATGCTCATTTTTGTGCGAAATATTTTTCCAAAGCAAAAACACTTTTTGAATTTGTTTGTTTATTTTTGATTTTATTAATTAGAAAATTTATAATTTAAGGTAAGAAAAACTTGGCAAAGATTCAAAAACAACGATGAATCCATTGATAAAGAAAATAATTCAAAATTTTAGATGGTCTTCTCTCCAGTTTCTGCTGATCCAATTCTAAATGCCATAAATGCGTCTGGCGATCGTTTTTTTATTCGAAGTCAAATAATGCTATGGAAATTGGAACAACTTGCTTTTCAAGGGGTTAAATTTATTTTAAAATTTTTAAAAATTATTTTAGAATATGAAAAAATGGACAGAATTTGTAAATAAATTTAGTGAAGATTGTAAAGTTATAGAAGAAAATAAAGAATTACAAATGCTTCTTTTGTGTGATTCAATGAGAATTGGGTTTTTTTTTTAAATATTTTTTTGTTTAAAATTTGTTTTTTTAAGCTAACAAATTGGAATACAGATTTTTGTCGTCCAGGTTTCCCTCATGAATTTGTTAAAAATGCGGCTGAATTGAAACAACAGCTAAATGGTGTTTTGACTAGAGCAATACAAGACAACAAGAGTACTTTTGACATTTTTAGTAAAGAGGTTTTTTAATTATTTTTATTCTAAAAATATTGAAAATGTTGTTTGTGACTAGGATATATTTTAAAAATTTGTCAGCGAAATTTTTATCTTTTTTCAATTACTTTTTTTATTTCACAACAACTTAACTGATTCATTCAAATTTTCGATTTCAACAAGGGCAGATAATTTTGAATTGTAAAATTATTCCAAATAAATAGTCCTTCCATTCTCTCCCCAAATAAACTGAACTTACCCTGCCACATGTCATCAAAAAATTTTTTCTAGTTAACATGTTATTTACTAAACAATCGAGAATGGTCATTTACTAGTCAACGTATCAAGAATCAACCACTTTTAACTACTCCTTTTACAAATATTGCTGTTATTTTTTCATTTTTCTTCACTAAACTTTATTTGAAAAAGAAACAAGACGAAGCATTTAAAACAGCTAGAGAAGTTATTTGGAAGGTTTTAACTCCAACATTTGATGCTGTTAAATTTTGGTAAGATTTTTAGCTTCTGGGGTGGAGAGAGGGAATTTTTACGTATAAATGGGTATGACTATGAAGGACTTCCCCATCGTTTCCCACGCTAGGATCGGATTTATAGTCTGGAGTATGATGGTCTGTTCTGGACCGAACCGAAGAACCGATGATTTTTCGGTTCGGTTATTCGAAGATTTTTCAAGAACCGACAACGCTAGTCTTGAGAACTAAATATCTTTTCTATTCTCTCCATCATTCTTAGATCCATCATTCTTTCATCATTCTTCATACACCTATGAATTATCTGAATGGATAGAAGAAATACTTTACAATGAATTTGATACAATTTCTGAAGATAATACACTTGACTCTACAGCTGATTTATTAATTAAAATGAGTAATTGGTTATTGGGAAGGGGAAAGACGAGTGTGGAAGAAGCAAAAACAAAATTTAGAGAAAATGTGGAAAAACTGTTGGCAATGAATTCGAAAAAGGTTTTTAATTATTTTTTTAAAGTTTTGTAGTTGGAAAGAGAAAACTTCAAATAAATTCGGATAGTTTCCAGAAGTTTCTTCTAAATCATATTTTGACATGTCTCAAGACGATACGGGTTGAGAAAAAAGTCGGATCGGGTTCTGGAAAATTTCTTGAATCTGGTTTCGGATAGAAAAAATCCGGGTAATACGTGACATGATTGATATGTTTCTTCGAAATCGAAAAAATTGAAGGGGGGGGGGGGTATTTTTAAATTTTGAAGATTTTCTTCACAGGAATTTTTTTTTTATTCTCTCCAAAAATTTTTGACAACCTAAAAATTTTTCTTCTCTAGTTTTTCTATATTTTTAAAGTTCGAAAAAATTTCTTTTTATATTTATAGGATGTAGTAAAAATGTTGAACCGTCAGATTCAAGTGAAAACGAGGATATAGTGAAGACCAAGAAGATTAGAAAAAATAAAATATAATTTATTTCCCATAATTATTTGTTGAATAAAAAATTATAAAATTCTCAAAAATATGTCAAACTTAACAAAAATGTCCTCTCTTAAGAACAAGCATCTTGTTGAATAAAAACTTTTTGTAAAGAACTTGTTTTGATGGAAAAAACATTGTTTTGATGGAAAACGGCTTTTACAACGAGAAAATTTCAAATCAACTGGAAAAAAGGAGAAAATTTTTTTAAATCATCCTTTTTCTGGAGGAGATCTAGAGGAGATATTTTAAAATTCCTCGTTCCAAAAATTAAGTAAGAGTTAATGCTTGTAGTAAAAAGTCGAAAATAGTGAATACCGTTACTGACTACTTTAATTTAGAGACCAATATTTTTCCAGATATCTCATAGTCAGGTTTTGCTAAAATTAACTAGTTGTTGTCAGTATTTTATCTGCGAAAATAAGCGGAGGCTTTAGTTTATTTAGTACTTCTTGTTTTTGTTTTGAATTAAATCGGGAAGATAAAAATAGTGATCAACATCTTATATGTATTTAAATCTGCCACATTTTAATCATTATATTAACGAATATATACATATATGTAGATCTATATTTAATTGGTTAATACTAAGAAAACAATCTATATTTAATTGGTTAATACTAAGAAAACAATCTATATTTAATTGGTTAATACTAAGAAAACAATCTATATTTAATTGGTTAATACTAAGAAAACAATCTATATTTAATTGGTTAATACTAAGAAAACAATCTATATTTAATTGGTTAATACTAAGAAAACAATCTATATTTAATTGGTTAATACTAAGAAAACAATCTATATTTAATTGGTTAATACTAAGAAAACAATCTATATTTAATTGGTTAATACTAAGAAAACAATCTATATTTAATTGGTT